TAGTGGAAGAACCCGAGGTAACCCACGTGACTAGATATTCGCAACCTTTGGTGCATGACGGGAAACATCCCTTTGTACTCCCGCAACCTGAATCCCAGCTTATTAATGCCCCTGAAATACCCTGAAAAATAAGAAATTAAAATAAAGCATTTTTTTAACTTAATACATGACGAAAGCAAATAGAGTTTAACCTGATTGTGACGACCTCTAGTACGAGAGTTAACCTTTGTCGAAAATGGCTCTTTTACTAGATTTCTGTATCTGATCAAATGACAGAAAGAAAGTTGAAGTTTCAGAAACCATTGTTTTTCCTTTATTTCATTGCTATTTTTCAAATATCTTTAAAAACAAGTTTTATAAAACAAGTAAACAACTGTACAAACCAAAGTTATTTGAGTTCTGGATAATCATCGTTATATTGCCTTTGCCTTAAAGCTGTATTTACATTTGATTAATTTGAATGAACATCGTAATTTCCAATATCAGTTACAAAACTTTAAATGGAAAATCTACTATCAAATATTCGGTTTACCACTTTCTTTAATATGAAAAAAAAGCGTTTATGAGATTTTCAAGATGATTTTGATCATAAAGGCTGTTTTTTTTAGCTTGAAAAATCAGAGAAATTGACGAATTGTCATTAGTATTTGATGAAAATGTTTACGTTACACATGTTAACCATAAATAAAGATTAAATACAAATAAAAACATATTTATTTGCTGAGCGATATAAATCATGAGGATTATTTTTTTGCTTTTAATGCCAATGATGATGATCATATGCATGACGAAAATGATGATAACGCAATGCTGATGATGACATGATGATTTTGCTGTTTTAATGGTGATGATGATGATGTTTTTGTTGTATTTGTTGTTGTTACTGTTGTTGTTGTTGATGGTGGTTGTGATGATGATGATGATGATGATGATGATGATGATGATGATGATGATGATGATGATGATGATGATGATGATGATGATGATGACGATGATGATGATGATATGATGTTGATGTTGTTGTTTATGGTGATGATGATGATGATGATGATAATGATGATGATGATGATAATGATAGCGACGACGACGATGATGATGATGATAAGTGGAGGAAGAGGATAACATCTTTGACAACATCGGTAGTGATGATGATGGTATCATAATGGTTTCTGTTAAAGCTGTTATTAATTTTACCAATGTCGTCATTGTCATTATAGTATAGACCGTTGTTATCATTTTACCAATACTATCATTGTCATTATCATCGTAATATAATGCAGGCATCACCATCATAATATTTTATCATTGTTATAATTCGTTTCATCGTAACATAAAATTACATTTTCACAATTTCTTTATATCACTAAATCATTATATAAAAATTATAATAATAAATATAAGTATCATCAATTACATCATATGATTATTATTATAATAATAATTTTTAGTATCATCAGTATATGTAATAATTATTATAACTATTTCCAGTATCATCATAATATATAATTATAATATTATTATCAGTATCATCATAATATATAATAATAAGTGTCAGTATCATTAATGTATATGATAATTTGTAATTATATAGTATAGTTGTCATTTCCATGATGGTCTTAAACATATATGCATGTATTACTCAGTATCATTAATAAATTGGTAATAGAAAAGATAAATGATTTAATTAGTACACAGACCTGCAAAGTTACATAGGTAACTAACAGAACAATCCAATTTGAAAAAGCCATTTCTGATTACACTGTCCTACACTGAAAACGAGCGTAATCGGAATGGGGCTCAATCGATACAGTGATGGCTTTTTATGCTAACGTTTAAATTGACGGCCTTAGAGACAGACAACTTAATCAGTCATGCGATTGCCTAATTTTAGTCACGATTTTGGCTCAAAAAAGCAACTAACTCATTCGGTCACATGATCCTATGGGTCGATAACGTTTTTTTTTTCTTTTGCTGGTATGAATTTTAATTAAGATTCATTCAAGTGAGGATCACGATTTGTAGTAAAAAAAGTCACGCCGCAGCAAATTATGTTGTATTGTATTACATTAGTCGGTTAGTACGTGTGTCCTTTAAAGCGGGTACATTGCAAATATAGGTTATTATCAAATATTTCGTCTACAAGTCACGTTTGCTTATAGATCTGCATAATATAAAACAAGGTATAAAGAATTGTTTAAATTGTACAGTGCTGTTTATGATGAAACAACGGTTAAAAAATCATATATATTTATAATTAAGTTGGCTTTTACAACCCTCATTCCGTTTGTATTTAGTGGTATAAAGAAATTGTGAAAATGTAGTAAATGTAATAAATACTAGTTTAATGAGGGAAAAAATTGGGTTCCTTAAGGAAAGCTCAAAGCGGCAAAATTAAAAATGTTGTAGGCTCGGTTTGATTGAGCTTGTTTATGGACGGAAGTGGTAAATAGAGGCTAAAGTCTGAATGCCCCCCAACAACCCCCCCTCCCACGCCCTGCACCGTTAGTACCAGAAGAACCGTGAAATATCTTTAAATTTCTCTTTAACTCATAAAGTGATGATTTGATCTATTAATCATTTAACTTTCTTCCTCCATCCCATTTTTAAATTTTGTTATATCGAGGTGTGCACCTAACGATGACCTCACAAAATAAAACATTAACTTTTGAATAGATTAAGAAATAAACCCTATACCCCTTGAAAATATCTTAAACGTGTAGAATAACTGAAAATTCTTTCTTTTTTCGGTACGATTTTGAATGAATACAAATTGACCTAAACTCTTTAAATTCGATCAATTTTTGGACAAATTACGTTGAAATCGAGCAAACAATGTCATTTGACTGAATAACAAGGGTTAAATAAATATTGCTGAAACGATGTATGCAAAGTGATCCACACAGTGCGTTTAGAATAAAAAAGTGCCCTACTTTTATTAGGTTTTTTTTTTGTAACTCCCGATTACCTAAATACACATAATATCATGATATTATATTCAGAAAACTTGTTTATCATTATAGGTAGATTTTATTATTTCTTTATATATTGGTATAATGGGTTCTGATTAAATGTTACCCTCATAAAATACATGTACATGTATTAGTATTAAAGGGGAGCGGTGGCCTAGTGGTTAAGGTGGTTAAGGTGTCTGTCTCTCAACCCAGAGATCATGGGTTCCAGCCCTACACGGGTCACGATAATGTCTCGTCATATGACACCAGTACTGGTTGGTTCAAGGAAGCGGACTCGAAAGTGATTAATATAAGTTGCAAGAATTTGTTTTAAAATCGAGCTTAAATAAATATGTTAAACCAGTATTCCCGTGAGATAATCGTTATATCATCCTGGGTGACATGACAAACACCCTCACAGAGAATATTCTGCGGGAGATATTTTTTATCACCCTTGGGTAACTTTTCTGTATATTTAAACAAATTACACATAGCCTCAGTACATTGATATTGCGGTATTGACGTATTATTATATCAAATAATTATACATTATTAAGTACAATACTGAATACTTTGCTGTTAATTAAACCTATATTGGACGAGACGCTAGATTTTTAACAGATGATTCACGTACATGAAAACACCCTTATTGTCAATGCAAATTACGGTTATCGTGTGTTTTAAATTAAATTGTAACTTGTGCTAACTGAATCACATTTCGTGATCAGGCATATTGTAATCGTAATAATTGTATGTTACAGGATACTGTATACATGAAGTAACGGAAATAAAATTTCTTTCTTTTTCTTCCTCTTATTTCTTTCTTTCTTTCTCTTTTTCTTTTTTTCTTTCTTTCTTTCCTTCATTCTTTCTTTCTTTCTTTCTTTCTTTTTTTCTTTCTTTCTTTTTTGTCTTTCTTTCTTTCTTTCTTTTTTTTCTCTCTCTCTCTCTCTTTCTTCTTTTTCTCCTCCTCCTCCTTCTTCTTCTTCTTCTTCTTCTTCTTCTTCTTCTCCACCCCCATTGATATACAAATATAAAAGTCACGAGACTAAATCGCTTGTGCACTTTGCTAACCAACTACAAAAAAAATGTACTGGTGTTCGGAAGACATGTGGAAAAATGGGCCAGGAATCAAACTTTTTGCCAAATGCTTATGGGTATATGTCTTTATATTTATCATTCCTTGAATTTTGAAGATCAAAATATCCAGTTACAATCACAATGCAAAAGTAAAAGTCAATTTGCATAGTTCAATAAATGAATGTTAGAGAAAAAATATTTTTGCCCTTTAATTTTCGAAATCACGCACATTATTGTGAAATAATCAAATGTATCTATGAACTATTTTCTTTTATCATATACTTATAAATGTGAAATTGAGAAACATTGATGACATAATATGTGTATATTTTTCATTTTCCGTAATTTCACTGTATATATTTATTTTTCACTGCAGTGAAACATGTTTTCCGTATTTTCATTGGTGTTTTGGCGGACTACTTTCTTCTTAATTCAGCCAATACAAAAAAAAATTAAGTGGAAATCTTTCAAATTGTAATGTCTAAAAGAGAAAAATGTATGTTATAAAAAGGAAATTGAAGTTTATTTTTCTATAAATACAGGATTTATTTTCATCTTGTGATATGAAAATTGTCATATTTCATACCACTCGATGAAAGTGTAAATCCTGTATTTATAGAAAAAAAACTTGAATTCTATTTTATAGAAAAAAACTTTTTAACATGGAAAGTCTAGATTTTGGGTAATTCCAAGGATTTTCATCATTCTTTGTTAATAAGTTTTGGAGATACAACTTTCACGCACACTCTTAATAATCAACTCGTGAAACGCAAGAAACTTGAACATAAGTATCACGAAAAATAGTCCCGTTTTAAACATTACAATAAAAAGTTAAAGGCCTAAAAATCTTCAGAAATGTCATTATTTATATTTCTTCAAACCTTATAATATTGATATGCTTTGATACTACTTTGTTTACATTTTTCTACTTTACAATAAATCATTCCACATTTATAGCTACATTTTTAGGTAACAAGAATCTTACATTTCTCTAAAAACCATTATTTATACATTATAGAACTCATATTTCATGTATTTATCTTTAATTAATTTGTTTCAATGGCATATTGTGCAAGATATCAACATCATAGCAGCGCATGAATACATTTCATGTCTTCGGCTCATTTGCATACCGTGCCTTTCTGGTTTTACCGAGTCAGAAAAGCGAGAAAACAATTCTCTAATACCTGAGAAAAATAAAAATAAATTAACGTTGATTGTTCAGCAAATATATGCCTATGATAATATAATTTTTATTTTGATTGATCATGTCGACTTAAAAAAGCTTTTACGGAACAGAGAACTAAGTGTAGACAATAGATAAGTAAACAGAACAAAAATATTTGGCAAACATTTTTTTCGAGTGTAAAACATACTTAAAATCAAATTACTAAATACACATTTATGACCGAATTTATCATGTATATTTTCAGATCTGTGTCAAAGTAGGTCGATTTATCCTAGCGACAAAGTAAATGTTATAAATCTATTTTTAAACTTGCATTTCATTTATAATGTTATTACTGAAAATGGGACGCGGAGGTCGGTTTTCACTTCCGGAACAGCTCCCCGATTATACCAAAATATCACACCAAAAGTCCTTATCCGATTGGTGTTAGATTACCTATAATATATTATGAGATTGCACAAAGAGCGAAATACACGAAACATTTATATAATTTATCCACGAGTCTGTATAATTAAATGTGTATGATTTATTGCGAGCACAAGCAACTGCTACTCTCGATAAGGTGGCATAGTGAGAACATTGAAAAAGACTTCTGTCAGGAGCGCACGTGTTTAATATTATGTTCGCACGTGTTAAGGACGTGAGTTTTCATAATTATAGACATATAGGTAAAATTAAAACTATTCAACAGAATTTCTTTAAACTTGGAATGTTGTTAGAATATGATAACAGAAACATTTTAAGCGAAAAAAAAATTTTGGTCACCGTTTTCGTTTTTGAGTTATCTGCCCGTAGATCAGACTTTTCTACTTATTTGAGGTCATTTCAAGGGCAGATAACTTATACATACTTAAATGAATTCTTTTTTTTTAACTTCTGGATTATGTTTTTCTTGTTATTGTTGAGTACAATACATAATAAAATGCAATTCCGTAAAGCGTTTCGGTTATTTTTTTTCAATGAAAATAAAGGTACTTTATATTCTTAAAAATATAGGCCAATTTTGAAGAAAAAATGCACAGGTTAAAAGAAGAAGTGGGAATAAAAACTACCCACTCTAAATCTATTCTTGAAATTTTGTATAACAACTAAAATGAAGGTAAGCTTTATGAAAATAAGAAAAAAATAATTGTTTCCCTTCTTGTAAATAATTTGCCCTTGAATTTTACAAAAAAGTCCAATTCAAGGGCAGATAAATCAAAAACGAGAACGGTAACCCCAATTTTTTTCGTTTAAGATATTTCTGTTATCATATTCTTACAATATGCCAAGTTTAAAGAAATTTTATTGAACAGTTTTAATTTTGCCTATATGTCTATATGAAAACTCCCGAAAATGTCTTTAACTAACAGGGTTAGGATTAACCCTAGCAATTACCCAAGCTTTAACAGTGACGGTAGTCAAAACGTGGGAAAATAATGGTGTGCACGTGGTAGATAATACGTGTGCACATTTTAGTTAATTTATATGTATACCCATGGTAGTTAACACGTGCGCACGTGATATTTTTTTATGCCTACTCTCTGCTCTTTCAAGCCGATATGTTATAAAACGTGTAGATTCCATACCTCGTACAAAAGTCCCATTCATGCATTTTGTCTGGTACGAATGGGCACCTGAGAATAACCACCGGACAAATAGGTTTGAGTGGTTTAGGCTAGGACCATTATTTGCTACAATATAAGAAACGACCTCATGACGAAAGATAGAACATTTGTATTTGTATTTCTGTAAGATATCTGGGGGTATATATACATCATTTTTATACAAACATCTTGAAAAAAAACTATAAAATTGGTGTACTATATGGAAATCCAATTGTTTTATAATTGAGTGTATTGGCAATGCTCTTAAATTATACATATTGGAACTGAAAGACTAAAATTAAATACAAAATAAAGTCGGGTAAATCACGTGAAGTGATGAGATCTATATATGTTTAAATCTAACAGGTTCACCGTTGGCTTTTTTTTTGGTTGGAACAGGTTATAAGTAAATATTATATAATAGGAGTTCAATGGTTTGTTTGATATATTTGGTCAATGGGATACGGCTCATTGAATGTTTTGATAGGAGAAAACATTTTCCTCGGTCAGAAAAGAATTCTAAGTCAATTTCCTTTACACTGTAATACTAATATATAGGTCCTATTATATGTGGAAGGGAAATTGACTTGGAATTCATTTCTGACTTATAATATATGTTTTCTGCTATCAACATATTTTGTGAACATAAAATGAGCCATACCCCTTTGTATTTGGTCAGATAATCCAACTTATAACATTGTTTTTCAATGAGGGTTTTCCCATGTGGGGGAGACATATTCGGGGTGTTCTAAGTAAAGTTACGCCAGTGAAAAAAAAAATCATTCTTCATAAAACATTATTTGCGCAACACCGTTTAATTTCCCGCAAAAATTGCATGTTCAGCAAATAAGTAGAAAATGGCAGTCCAGCCGAACCAAGAATTGAAATTAGGTATTTCAGTCATCTAATATTCATTTTCTTACCCTTCACTTTAATTTAGAATGACCGACTTGTAATGACAAATACCGACGAAGCAAAAAAGTAATATTTTTTAGTGTAATAGTGTTCGGACGAATCAAATTTTGGCTAAGGTAATTTGCTCTATGCATTTACTATTTTTCTAAGTGAAAGCTACTTTTGCTGATGTTTAAAACTAATATGTTCATAAAAATATGATTTTAAAAATACATAAACTGGAACACTGTGGAATGGTCTTGCAATACAATTTGATTTTGTTATTTAGGCAGTATCATGATAAACACATTTACATGTAAATTGTAAATGAAAACATTGTTATATCAATTATTGTGATTGTTTACTTCAGATTTATCACAAGAACAAGGATTTATTTCATACTATCGGTCCTTACCGGAGGTAAGAGTCAGTTAATGTGAACAAGTGAATAGTTTTACGTTCTTAACAAAGAGTGAAGTTTTTGTATTTATATTGTTTACAAATTATATGCCATAGACTAATTCAATGTTTAATTGCTTTTTTGTGTATAATTTATGCAGAATTTATTTCAGTTTTGATTGCGTAGGAAGCTATTAGCTCATAGACGCACTCTCATATCTGTTCCTGGAACCAACCAGTGCTCAATAAAAGAAACAGCGCTTGCTTTTGACGGGTTTGAATGCACGCAGCTAGGGATCCTATGATTAGTTGTCTGACCTGTTAACCACTAGACCATGCCCCTACAATTATTAACAACTGTACATATATTGAGCCACGAGGTAGTTAAAATGAATGGTTACCAATTTCTATCCGCCTGGCCCCTAGTGAAGTGGTAGGAGTTGGGAGGTACATGGTATGCAACAAAAGGTGTCTCATAAGTCAGAAATGGCTGGCCATTTTAGGAGGGATGACACTATTATAAACAAGACCTTTTTTATAGTAAAATAGCAGCACAAGGCAAAACATTTAATTTATACATAATTTGAACATGAAAAAAGCACAGTATTATAGCAGCAAAGCAGTGCAGCATGAGTGTAGGACAAAAGCCCCCCCCCCCCAGGCCAAAGCCCCCCCATCTAAAAATGACAAGGTGGACAAAAGCCCCCCCCCCCATGAAATTTACACATACTGTCATAGGACAAAAGCCCCCCCCCCCCCCCATCAAAAATACAGGTAGGACAAAAGCCCCCCACCCTAGTCCAAAAGCCCCCTTAAGGTTTATAGACCAGACTGATAACTATCTTTTTCACACGCCAAGTGTTCTAGAACTTGGTTTATACTTCAAATAAATCTAAACAAGTATGCGCCTTTCACTTTTTTTTCCTTGATGAGGGTTGATAAGCGATTCTCTGAAATTTTCATTTGTACGGTACAATATATAATAAACATTAAAACATTCATATCAATATACGAATTACACAATAAGTCAAACTAGAACTTTTGTACCTTTAAATTCAAATCTTAATGTAAATTATCTTTTAAATCATTTGCATTTATTTGTTAAGATTCTCAACAACAATTGTTTGATGGACTGGGGGGGGGGGGACTTTTGTCCTACTTGTAATTTCATGGGGGGGGGGGGCTTTTGTCCACCTTGTCATATTTAGATGGGGGGGGGCTTTCATCCGGGGGTGGCTTTTCCCGTGCAGCATTAATACATAATTTAAGTATGAGAAAAGCACAATATCAACTACATATGACTACAGTTATATACATAGTCTTATAATGATGTGCAAAATTTTAATAGATGGAAGAGAAAAACATGATGCTGCTATATGTACAATTAGTGTCTAGAGATGTAAAAGGGAACTTTTAGAAAGGATATCTTGTACATGTTAACCTTAATGTGAATGGTTGAATTGTAAATTTGCAAACTGACTGAAGTATCAGGTTGAAATTTATTATGCCATCTTCTATTCAGAATGGTTGGTAGAAACTAGTCGTACTAGTGTCTCATTATTTTTATGCCCCTGGGCATATAGTAATTCAACCGTCCGTCTGTCCGTTTGTCCGTATGAGGTTAACCTAGAACGGCAAGTTGGATTTTTCTTAAGTTCTACCTGTACCAATGGCTTCTAAGTTTACACACTTTCTAATCAATATAAAGTACATGATCTGGGCAAGTTACATAACTCTGGCTTTCATATTTACCAAGTTATTGCCCTTTTCAGCACTTAGAAAATGAATAATGGTTAACCTAAAACGGCAAGTTGGAAATATCTTAAGTTCTATCTATACTAATGACTTTATAATTTGAACACTTACTTATCAATACAAAGTACATGATATTGCCAAGTTATATAACTGTGTCATCCATATTTCCCAGTTATTTCACTTTTTTCACTTTGAAAATAGGGCCTTGTCTGGTTAACCTATTTCGGCAAGTTGGATTTATCTTAAATTTCTCCTAATTACTTAATTTAATGATATCTTTCATATTTAGTAGGTGGATACCTTTGATGGTCCTCTAATTTTTTGTGGAGTAAGCAGTCTCTAGGGTCAAGGTCAAGGTCACTAGTTTAAAAAATAAATATTAACATCTTTGCTCATACAGCCTTTATTTTTTAGTTGATGTCTTAGTTTAATACAAACATGTCAAGGGAGGTCCTCCTTTGGGTGTAGTAAGGGGTCATTTGGGTCAAGGTCAATGTTACCAATGTCAAGGTCACCAATGTTAAAAAAAGATTTTTACAGGTGTATTGACCTTATTCTATAAACAGATGTTATTTATAATTGAAAGAAACATAAACTTTGATGGAGTTAGTGGTCAGTTGGGTCAAGGTCACCAGTGCTAAAAATAGATTTTTACACATTTGCTCATACAGCCTTTATTAAGTGACAGATATATTTTATATTTGGTAGGAAGATAACTTGCATGGTATTCATCCTTTTGATTGGGATAGGGATCAGTGGGTCAAGGTCACTTGTGCTAAAAATAGATTTTTACACTTTTGCCCATACAGCTTTTATTTATTGACAGATGTATTTCATTATTGGTAGGAAGATAACTTGCATGGTATTCTTCCTTTGGATGGAGTAAGGGGTCAGTTGGGTCAAGGTCACCAGTGCTAAAAAATAGATTTTTACACTTTTGCCCATACAGCCTTTATTTTATTGACAGATGTATTTCATATTTGGTAGGAAGATAACTTGCATGATATTCTTCTTTTGGATAGAGTTAGGGGTCAGTATGGTCAAGGTCACAAGTGCTCAAAATAGATTTTTACACTTTTGCCCATACAGCCTTTATTTAATGACAGATGTATTTCATATTTGGTAGGAAGATGACTTGCATGAAGTTGAATATTTTTCAACTTCACAAGTCAGAGCAATGACTTGGCAACTTATATTTTTCACAATTACAAAATGCCATGACTTTGTCAAGCTATATAACTTGTGTTTACAATTTTTTGGCAATTTTTCTGTCCATAACTGAGTGAATGGGTAAACATTTTTTGAAATATTGCTACTGACAATCTGAGCCAGGGGCATTTGTGTTTAACAAACACATTCTTGTTTAAGTGATAAATGTTTCCATGTGTTGTTGTTTTTATTCTTTTCAGAAATCAAGCACCACTCTCAGATTTTTTGACAGAACTGTAAGTACATACAAGTAAAAAAAATTATACTTTAACTGCATAAAGATAAAAGTATCAAATTGTTTTGTAAGGAATTGGTTCAATGTTCAAAACAAAACACAAAAATGTGGCTAACTAATCCTTAAGTTTGAATTCATTGCCACTGCTGTTTGTAGTATATTCAATAATGTTGTTTAATATATATTTGTATAAAGGAAGCTTTACAGTTAGCAGACTTTTGATGGATTGTTAAAACATATCATGGTACATATCATGTTACAATTTGTGTCAAAGCAGTCACCACCTGAAGTCATTTTTTTCCTGATTTTATTCAAAATTTGATCATAAGAACATAACATGGCTGAGCAATCGTGTTAGTTACACAGTGTAGACAAGTTATAACTTGTAATTTGCCATATTAATAACATTTTCTCAAATGGCTAAATTGGCAAAATACAGATTGAGCCATTCTAGTGATGTTGGAAAGTTATCATGTGACAAAAAAAATTGACAGTGAACTAAATGACTCTATTCTTTCACATTCATTTATTTAAATTTTTTGT